ATGCTACGATATTCAGCTTCTGTTGTACTTCTAGAGACAAATTTTTGCTTTCTTGATGACCAGGAAATAAGATTGGAGCCTAGATACACATGCTACGATATTCAGCTTCTGTTGTACTTCTAGAGACAAATTTTTGCTTTCTTGATGACCAGGAAATAAGATTGGAGCCTAGATACACACAATAGCCACTGGTTGACTTTCTATCATCTTTATCATTTCCCCAATCTGAGTCACAGAAGCCAGCCAGATTTAGTTGCTTATTCTTTTGAATGAGAAGACCATGATGGATGGTTCCTTGTAGATACCTCAGAATTCTTTTTACTGCCTTCCAATGATGTTCTTGTGGGCAGTGCATATATTGGCAAACCTTATTAACTGCAAAAGAGACATCCGGACGAGTAATGGTGAGATATTGAAGTGCTCCAACTATAGACCTGTAAAAGGATGGATCTGGTACTGATGTTGTCTCATTTTCTGTCAACTTCAGATTAGCAAGCATAGGTGTAGGTTGTGGCGTTGAATCACTCATGCTGGCCTTATGAAGAATTTCTCTGAGATATTTTGTTTGAGTCAAAAGGAGATTACTACTATCTCTCCAAACCTTTTCCCTCACGACTTTGTCGTGTACCAGATTGGGAGGTGAGTACCGTCTCTCCAAACTTTTCCTTCACAGCTTTGTCATATACTGGATTGGGAGGTGAGTGTCTCTCCAAAATTTTCCTTCACGACTTTGTCGTATACCGGATTGGGAGGTGAGTACCATCTCTCCAAACCTTTTCCCTTACGGCTTTATCGTACCGGATTGGGATGTGAGTACCATCTCTCCAGACCTTTCTCTCACGGCTTTGTCATGTACCAGACTAGGATGTGAGTACCGTCTCTCCAGACTTTTCCCTCATAGCTTTGTCGTATACCAGATTGGGATGTGAGTACCATCTGTCCAGACCTTTTCCCTCACGACTTTGTCGTATACTGGATTGGGATGTGAGTACTATTTCTCCAGACCTTTTCCCTCACGGCTTTGTTGTATACCAGATTAGGATGTGAGTATTGTTTCTCCAAACCTTTTCCCTCACGACCTTGTCATATATCGAATTGGGATGTGAATACGTGCCCTTGCACTGGTGGGCAAAGGAGTGGATGGATGGCAGGGACTCTGGTGTTGCCCCTGCCATGTGAGTATTATAATGCCTTTCTAGGCGTCTTCCTTGAGGATGTGTATGTGGCAAGAATTTTGTGTTTCTCTCGCGAAGTGAGTATTATGATGCTTTTTTAGGCGTCTACTTTTGGTAGGTCTCTAGGCGTCCATTTCCTTGTTACAGGTCTGGACAAAATTAGGTGTCTATAACCCCTTCCTTACAAGTTTTATGGGTGAAACTTGGAAAGCCCTTCCTCATAAGTTTTATGGGTGAAACTTAAAAACCCCCTCTTCACAAGTTTTCTAGCAAAACTTGAAAACCATCATTCATAAGTTTTCTGGTGAAACTTGGAAACCCTCCTTCATATGACCTCTCTCATTTAAGGCAATGACCCCCTCTACAGGTCGGGTGATTCTTCTCATTTCAAGAGTCTGTATTTATTGGCCATACATCACTATTTTGAAAAAGGAAACAAATCTCTAAAATAAATACAATATATTTCAATTCTAAACAATATCCTAAAAGAATCAATATCTTTTAAAATATAAATATATCTTAGAGATTTGAATTTAAAAATTTGAATTGTTTTCCCGACAACAAAAAACTAATGGAGAACAATGTATTTATAAGAGTTAGAAACAAACTAACTCTAACTAACTCAAACTAGAAAAACTAACTAACTTGTAATAACAACTTTCATCCATTTCCCTTAACAATTTTAAAATTTCTATAATTTTTACAAAATAGACTTGTAATAAATGATTATGGATCTAACTCGTGTTGATAACTGAATATTTGTGAATGATTCGATAATAAGTCGGTAATGAATAATAGTATACATAACAACACTTGTTAAAATAGACTCTAATACGATCTTAAAAAAGTATAATTGAGTTTAACTCAATCTTACAACTTATAAGGAGATAATTACTGTTACTTATACACTTTATTTTTGTTTATGTGGAATTTCAAACACATTCTCACACGTTAAAAGATGGTACATATTGAGCATGAAGTTTATAAGACTGAATATTTGTCAATAATTTAATAATAGCCCAATAAATCTAACAATAGTGAATAGGATAAACTTTTATATTAGATTAAATTGTTGTTTTGAATATCCATTAAGTTCAATGTGTTTTGGAAAATGAAAATTTCCTAAAATACATTATGAGTGTGTGTAATTTCCAGTTCACAGAGCTTCTAATGAACATTCAGTCTAATAATATTATACTCATGATTTGGTTCAACATATTTTTAAACATGTGCAAACCGAAAGCTAAACACTCATATCGATCAAGATTTACTTAATTTAACATGATTTTTAAAAATTTTGCATATGACATTAATATGTAGCTAAACACACTAATTGATTTAGATTACTAGTAAAAATCGGTAACAAAACACAACTATTGCCACAAAACACACAAATTGATTAAAAGTTATTATATTTTGATCTCTTATTTTTAAAATTTATTCAGTAAAATAGTTTTGAAGAAGAAAATATAACTAAATAAAAAAAATTATTATTATTGTTGTAAGTTTTTTTTTTTTTTTGCTAGGCTTGTTGTAAGCTAATTACATGTAGTCGCACACAATTAAATGAAGTTTTATTGATGTTGTAATATGTAAATAAGAAAATTTGTATGAAAAATAATATTTTTAAGACATGAAGAAAAAAAATGTGTTGGGTAAAATTAAATTTGTAATGTTTAAAAAATATATAGAGGTAGAAAATTCAATAGATTATATTTTAATTTTTATGATTTTATCAAACAAAAGAAAATAGATTAGATATGTCTTAACTTTTGAAAATAGTAAGAATAAAACTAAAGAAATTTGTTGTAGATTGTACTGTCCGTACTGCGAAGCCGAGCTCCGAGCTCGACATAACAGCGCAAGATGACCTCGGGCACGCGCTACGCGACGTCAGCTCGGCATTTAGGTAAATCATACCTGATCTCAAGGGATCTCGCTTCAAACGAGACCCATTATCTAATCTTATCATATCTTATCTCAGGCCCAGGGCCCAAACCAACCCTAATTCATACTAAGGTACGTGCATTACTTATACGAGATTCATACTCATACAAACCCTAACTTTAGCATCGGAGTCTCTTTTGCAGGTACCACCCCCATCTTGGAGCACCAGCGTACCAGCAAAGGAGGCTCACCGATCTTACTTGGCGGATCAGCTCTACAGCAGATTTCCGGTAAGAACATTTGGCGCCCACTGTGGAGCCGATTAAGACAGCTCTTATCGGCCACGCTTGTGGTTTTCACCAAAAGTCATAGCAGACGCGTAACAGACGACCTAGATCACACCACTAACATGGGAAAACGAAGCAACATTAAGACAACTGATCGAGCAGGGCGAGCAGATGCGGCAGCAACACGCCGCAGATCTACGAAGTATGCGTGCCAAGCACGAAACCGACCTAGCCGCGATGCGGACCGCCAATGAGGCTAACCTAGCGACTCTACGCACGGAAAACAAAAGGATTCGCACTCAACTCCCGCGGCGACACTCTGATCACCCCCCTCATACAAATAACCGCAATGAGGAAGAAGAACACTCCACTCTCCCCGACCAAGGTCGAGGAAAAGGACAAGGATGAGACAAAGGTCATGATTCAGGAGCTCGCACGGAACAGCCCTCTGCCTCCCAACTCAACCCCGGCGGAGCAATGCAAGCTGAGGTAAGCCAGGAAAAGGGACCAACTCCCCTACAGGGAGTAATCAGTACAATCGCAGGTGGTTTCGCAGGAGGGGGCGCCAGCAGCTCGACCCGGAAAAGACACCTGCGCAACGTCAACCACATATACTTCACCACCTCAGCTTCGCACCAGAGTGCACCGACGATTACTTTCACAAATGACGACTGTGCCGGGGTCAACCCCAACCAGGACGATCCCATGGTTATAGCCGTAGCGTTAGCCAATTGGGAGGTTCACAAAACGCTGATCGACCAAGGGAGCTCGGCCGACATCCTGTATTGGCAACGTTCCTCAGGTTAGACATCCCCCACTCTCTCATACAACCTCACACAGAGCCCCTAGTCGGTTTTGCAGGAAGAAGCGTTTACACGCGGGGGTACGTGGACCTACTGACAACTTTCGGAGCACCTCCGGATACAAGACGGATCATGGTTCGATACCTCCTCGTGGAGGCCGACACCTCCTATAACATCATCATCGGGAGGCCAACCTTGAACCAGCTCAGAGCGGTGGTATCCACCCCACACCTCACCATGAAATTCCCAGGGCATGATGGGAAAATTATCTCCGTAAAGGCAAACTAGAAGACGGCACGACAATGCTACACCGAAAGCTTGGAAATTGCCTTACTCGGTGAGCAGTGCAAGAGCGATCCCACCTCCGTGGCTCACTCCAACCACGAAGAAATCATCGATCTCGATCCAAGATCCGACTCTCACGACGAACTGCCTAGCCCCATTGACAAGCTCAATGACCTTCACATCGAGAAACTCCCCGGGCAATCCACGAAGATCAGCAGACAGTTGACCCCAGAGTTGCGACAGCAGCTCGAAGCGGAAATCCTCAAAAATGTCGACCTCTTCGCCTAGTCCAGCGCTGATATGTCAGGCATAGACGCTGATTTCATCTGCCACAAGCTAGCAATACACAAGGAGGCAAACCCAGTCGTCCAGCAAAAAAGGAAGTTAGGCGGCGAAAGGCGGGAGGCCATCATCGCCGAAACGCAGAAACTGCTGGATGCTGGCTTCATACGTGAGGTCAGGTACACCACATGGTTGGCGAACGTGGTCCTGGTAAAGAAGAACTCAGAGAAGTGGCGGATGTGCGTCGACTACACCAATCTGAACAAAGCATGCCCCAAGGACTCATACCCCTTGCCGAGCATTGACAAGTTGGTCGACGGAGCCTTCGGACACGCCTTCCTCAGCTTCCTCGATGCCTACTCCGGGTACAACCAGATAATGATGCACCCATCTGACGAAGTGCATACATCCTTCATCACCGACCACGCCAACTACTGCTACCGGGTGATGCCCTTCGACCTCAAAAACGCAGGCGCAACCTACCAGCGGCTGATGGATAAGGTTTTCCAACAACAGATTGGGAGGAACATGGAAGTCTAAGTCGACGACATGGTAGTCAAGACCACCTCGGCAGTAGACCATGTTGCTGACCTTGTCGAAGTATTCGCCCAAGTCAAGAAGCACAACATGCGCCTCAACCCGGAGAAATGTGTCTTCGGCGTCCAGGGAGGCAAGTTCCTCGGCTTCATGATCACTAGCAGAGGAATTGAGACCAATCCCGAGAAGTGTAAAGCAATCATACAGATGCAAAACCCACAAACGGTGAAAGAGGTCCAACGCCTAGCTGGACGACTGGTCTCATTATCCCGT